AGAATTTACCACAATACTTCCAGAACTCAATTTGAGAAGGCAAAAGTTAGACTCTTGCACCGACCAAAACAATTTTAACATTTAAATTTTTTTCCGTAAGACCCTGTTATTATTATTATTATTATTATTTTATTATTTATATAGCGCCAACAAATTCCGTAGCGCTGTACAATGGGTGGACTAACAGACACATAATTGAGATCAGACCACTGACGTACAGGAACAGAGGGGGTTGAGGGCCCTGCTCGATGAGCTTACATGCTAGAGGGAGTGGGGTATAGTGACACAAAGGGTTAAAGTAGGGGAATTAAATAGTTTGTTACAGAAGGGTTTATTGAGTGCTTGGTAGGTCATTTTTGACAGGTGAAGGAACGGAGTCATGGGGTGGGGGATGAGAAACCTGCTGACAGTTTAATTGATACGCTTTAATAAAGAAGTGAGTTTTCAAAGATTTTTTGAAGGAATGGAGGCTGGGTGAAAGTCTGATTGAGGAGGGAAGGGAGTTCCACAGAATAGGTGCAGCCCTGGAGAAGTCTTGAAGGCGAGCATCAGAGGTGGGGATCCGGGCAGAGGATAGGAGTAGGTCTTGGGCTGAGCGCAGGGGTCTCGTCGGGACATACTTGTGTATGAGGGAAGATAGGTATGTTGGAGCAGCATTATGTAGGGATTTGTAAGCAAGCGCCAGAATTTTGAATTGGGCCCTATATCTAACTGTTCAACCTCATACGACCGTTCTTTCTTAGATAAAGCCATTTGTGTAATAATGCTATGGAATAAGAAACTCACTTTATAATATTGTTGGATTAATGGAAACTCACACCCCTTGTGTTTTTTTTTTTTTTTTTAAAGCTAGGAATTTACTGTCATTCTTGTTTTTTTGCCTTGCCATATGAATTTTAAAAATGCATGTTGGATCATCGTTAGCCAGCTCTCTGGGATGGAGAGCAGTATCATTCCCATCATGTAAAGCCACTTTGGTAATATGTATGTTTTAATAATGTTTACTCCCCATCAGGAGAACTCCAACGATTTCCACTCTTTCAGCAATTTATTTGTTTGGGAAATTACATTCAATTGTCCTAGTTGGGTCAGAGCACACTTCAATGCCCAAGTACTTAAATGAATGTTCTGCCCACAAAAAATCTAATTTTTCTTTAATTCTGTTTTTAACCTGATTAGAAATATTGCTAGGCAAAATTATTGATTTATCCATATTTAATTTATATCCCGATACTTTGGAAAATTCATCTATTGTTTTTAATAATAGGGTTACTGATTGGACCGGTTTTTGTAATGTTAAAACTACATCGTCGACATACATATTTATCTTGATGTTATTTGAGTTGGGATTTGTCACGGGTGGCGGTACGGAAACCAGGACCCCTGAGTGCCTGATGAGAAGTGGGAGTCTTCAGCGTGGAAGTGGATTACAGGGCCCGGTGCAGGGTAACCGCACGCCCCCTGGTGTTGAGCACAATCGTTTGTGCGGCCACAAACCAGAACCCTGATGCAGCTACAGCGGATCCCAGGAACTAGGAGCTTGATATGCAGACCTCCCAGGAACTGGATAGGGGGGCTCTGCAGCAGACATGTATCCAGTACAGAAACAAGGCAAGGCTAGGATAGTCACCAAACATGAAAACAAGACAGAACTAATAGAACCCAGAACCAGAGCAGGACAGAAAGCAGAACCCAGAACATGTACACAAGACATGAGGAAAACAAGAACAGGGCAGGACAGGACTGTACATGAACTGGGATTACAAAATAAAACAAGACAAGATATAATAGGCAAAACAAGAGGAGACATAACTAAGCACTATATTTGAAAAGTATGGGGATTTAGTTACATTATATGATCATACATTGCATAAGCCTGCCAACAACGCCAATGTACCCCATATTCGGCAGGTCCTACTCTGCCTAATGTTCGCTAAAAGAACCATACTAAACCACAATAGCACTTACCTGCAAGAAAGAGCAGAGACTTGAAACACTGCTGCAGGTCCAGACTGAAACAAAAGGAAAATGGAAAACAAACGGGTGTGGCAACATAAAACAAACATTTAAAGGAAACCTGGAGACTGGGAATCCCAGGGACGGAATACAGGAATGAACCCAGAAAAACCCAGCATAAAGAAAACCAGACATAGACTAGAAAACCAAAAAACTAAACAAGAATTGTAAAAAGAGTACTGGATACGAGAAACCAAAGCCAGACATCTCCGCAGAACATGGCATGATGTGACAGGATTAAAACCTAAGATTCCGTCGTTTTGTTTTATGGCTGCAGCTAACGGTTCCAAAGACAGAAACCAGTTAACGGAAATCAGGCAGACGCAAAACCCTGACTCAATACCCTGGCAATCAGCGATGTATATAATGCTTTTATATGCTCAAGGCACCTACCCTCCAGTCCAAACGCCAACAATGAGGACCTCAGGAACTCCCAGCTGACCCAGTCAAATGCTTTTTCTGCATCTAAAAAAAGCGAGGGAGTTCCCGAAGCCTGTACGGCGTCTAGAATGTCTATAAGTCTTCTAGTGTTATGAATTGCCAATCTGCCTGGGATAAATACCACTTGGTCTCAATTTATCAGACTATCAAGTATTGTTTTCATTCTCTCTGCCAACATAAAGGAATGAAGTTTAATATCTATGTTCAGCAGCGGGATGGGGAGTGGTAATTTTTAACGAGTTCTGTGTCTTTATCTTGTTTCGGTATCGGGATGATATTTGCATGCAATAGTTCTTTAGGAATTTTTGTTGAATACCCTAAGGCATTAAACGTTTCCAAGAAATCTGTTTTTATATTATTTTTCATTAACTTACAAAAAAGATTATTAAATCCATCCGGCCGAGTAGTTTTTTTTTGTTTTTAATTTGTCAATACAAAGTACAATACAAAGTACTAAAGGCTGTACCTATTTTATCTGGTCTCAATACCGTAACACCATTATCGATTATCTTATTAATGATACTTTTCACTCTTTCTTTTTGTAGACGATTAGACATGAGTTTGTCAGCTTTATTCCCTAGATGGTACCATTTCGTTCTTAAGAAATTTAAAGCATTATTAGCCTTCCTCATTAACTGATCATTAATTAGTTTTTCAATATCTGATATTTTGTTAGAAAGTTGTATTGAGGGAGCTAGTTTGTTTTCATAGTGTAAGTCATCTATGTTTATATATATCTCTGCTAAGTTTATAAATTTATCTTTATTAGGTTTTTTTTCCCCTAAGATGTTAAGTTTATCAAATGGCCTCATATAACGCTTTTATATGCGCACCTCTTTCCCTCTATTTTCACAAAAAAACTAATCTGTTCTTGAATGTATTTCACATTCATATAATTTTTTAACACCCAGTTATTCAATTTCCATTCTGGTCTATATTTTTTTAATTTGATTGTCTAAATCCATAATTATCGGGTTATGGTCGAACCATGAAGTCGTAGTAATACAAATCTTTTTAATGGCTTTTGCTACAGATCTATCACCTAATATCAAATCAATTCTAGAATACGAGTTAAAAGACTTGGAAAAACATGAGAAATCTTTTTCGTTGGGGTGGAAGATCCGCCAACAGTCCAACAGAGCATTCAGTTTAATAACTTTTAGCATTCTTTTAGCATTATTTATTAACTTTCTATTTTTTTTTTTTAAAGTGACCTTTTGTCTAAGTCTGGGTCTAAAATACAATTAAAGTCTCCCATAATTAAGACCTGACCTACTTTAATACGCTCAATGTTATACAGGACTTTTTTAATAAAAGAAATTGGAGATGTATTTGGTGCGTATATGTTAGCTAGCGTATATTTTTGATTATTGATTTCACACAATCTGCCTTCACTATCCAAAACTTGATGATTAATTTTCAAAGCAATATCTTTTGAGAAGAGAAAAGCAACCCCTTTTTTGTTTTTTGTTAGAGCTGCACTTATAACTATGGGAAAACTTTTCGACTTAAATTTATTCTTGTCCTCCATGGTCCAATGGGTTTCTCGGAGGGCCCCAATGTGGATATGTTCTCTTTCCATGTAATCTTACATCGTGTATATCGTGTATGTTTTAAAATGTGAGTTAATCCCTGTGCATTAATTGTAGCCAATCTAATGATCATATTTTAACTGAATTCCGCTCTCATCTGGATGGACTGGGAAACTCATCGCTTTACAACACAAAAATAACATAAAACATATACTCTAATGACTAATGATGCCTGCTTGAAATATATAAGCCGACATCCCAGGCCATTCGCTGGACATACTCTCGTCTACTGGAGAATCACTCTCCCTAACACACTTATCGGCAGAAGCCTCCTCAGAGTGTCGACTAAAACCCCTGTCTACGCCTAACTGATCTGACAGAAACAGTGGCCTACCCCCCTGGGGCCTACATGTAGGCCCATGTAATCCCTTGCCGGGTTCCTATATTTTAGTTTGAGCAAAGGAGAAAGAGAAGGGGAAAAAAGAAAAATGTAATTAAAAAAAAGAAATTAATTAAAAAATAAATAAATAAATGTATTTATGGTAAAAAAAAACTTACATTTTAATTGGTTAAAAATCATGTGTATAGGTGTACTATATTTAATGATGAAATGTTTACTGTCAACCGTTTAAAATCTGTGTTAGGGATTTTCACATCATGTGTAAATCTGTCTTTAATTTACTGTGTAGTTGTACGTGCTTCTTTAGTGTTGTCTTTCCCTTATAGATCTTTATGGTCGGTGCCTTTACTTTCCATTTTCAACGTGATATAAAAAAGTCACGTTCTATTTTATCCCTCTCATTTCTATATAGTGCTTTTATGTTTTCCTATTTTTAACCCAATAGGAATGTAGTATTTTATCTGCTCCTTCTGCTTACTTTTCCTATACTTTCAGTTATAATAATAAATAAATTAATTAATAAAAGCCTTTCATCTACAGTGATTCCTGTTCAATCTTGTTTGTGACGATAGGTCTTGAAAAACTTTTATTTGTGAATATTATTATAATTATTATTTTACTGAATACGATGAATCTTTTAGGTCTTTAAAGGCATTAGCACGTACCACAAGTGTCTTAAACCGGAATGAATGCAGGCATAAGATCACGTCTCTTGGTACCTTTTCTGGTACTGACTTAGGTTTCATGACTCTGTGGTATTTTTCAATGTAGTTGGTTTCTTTAGTTGGGAGTAAACCCAAGAATTCTAAAAAATCTTCACAGTAGTCTTCCAACTTAGCTGCTGCGACCAGAATACCTCTTATTCTGAGGTTATTTCTTTGTAACCTATTCTCGAGGTCTCCAATCTTGTTTAGTAGATTTTCCGTTTTTTCTTCAAGAATTTTCAGCCTTTCCGTGTTAGTCTGCGTTTGGAGGGAGATGTTATCTGTCTTCTCTTCCATTTTTTAAAATCTTTCTCTGATCTTGGCTAGTCACTTTTACTATTAGTAGAAGAGGTGTAGAATTCCGCTTTAATTTTGGCCAGTTGCGCTTTACAGCATTTAGCTAAGTGCTCTGCAGTGATGATGGTTGGTTCTAGACACCGATTTTCTGGCGACCCACTATCTTTATTAAGGTTCTTTATTTTCAAACAAGCTTGAATCGTCTTGAATTCTGGGCTGGATACTTGTATCTTACTGAGGTGAAAAAAAAATTGGACGCTCTTCTTTCTTGTGGTGCTTCAGTTTTTTAAGCTTTTTTGTGTTTTGTGTATTATACTGTACTTTTTGAGATGCCATTATTCTTTTCCCTTTTTCCTTACTTTGTTCTTTCTTTATATATGAAAGGTTTTGTGTGATCTATTACTTGATCAAAAATTTGCTTTATAATATTCACACACTTTTAGCCTGTGCTAAACTGGTGTAAACTACACAATATTGTCGAGCAGACGGAAGAGAAAAAAAAACAAAAAACCAGAAAAAAAACAAAAAGAAGATTAACTACAGAAAAAAGTTTTTTCCTCAGATCCTAAAGGCTGAGTAATCGTCTCTTATTTGATAACAGGGTACAGGTTACTTAGTAAAGGGTAATATAGTTCAGTTTTGCCTTACCCGGCTATTTCAGTTCTCCTTACTGCCTTTTTTCTTGTCTTTCTCCTCCCACCACTTTCTCTTTCTCTCCTTCCCTGTTTGTCTTTTTTGGTCCCAGCTCCTTTTCTTTAATTCTTAGTTTATTTGTTAGTCCTCACAGACTCCCCCACTGGTCACTGCTTTTTCTTCCTTTTTACTTATATTTCTTCAAACACTTTGTATTCTTACCTTTTTTTTTTTCAGCCGTAGGCACTTGGCACTTAGCTGCTTCCTCAGCACATTAACTTGCCAGTTTCAGCCTTCCTCCTAGCTCCATCCACCATCTAGTCTGCTAGCTTGTACCCAACCTGAGGTCTGTTTGTGTCTCTCGTGACTCGTTTACGGCACTACCACCTAGTTCTCCTCGCCACACAACGAGTCACAGTATCTCAGCATCCCGGCTTCAGCACTCTCTCGGAACCCGGCAAGGCTTCCCACAAGGTGTAGGCACGCGCGCATACGCGCTCATGTGCATCTACGTCATCATGTCCCCACACCTTTTTTTTTCTCAATCATATACATGCAAGGATTCCATCTAGATCCAAGATCTTCTCTTCAGACATTGTTTGTTTGAAGTCAAATATATATTTTTTTAAATCTGCAAAATAAATTCATCCATCCGTCTGTCTGTCTATCTAGCTATTGATCGATCCATCCACTCAAGCATCCATCCCTCACACATTAACTCACCTATCCATCCATCCAGTCATCATCAACCCACTCACATATCCATTCTCCCCCCCCATTCATCCACCCAACGACCACCCATTCATCCACCCAACGATCACCCATCCATCCATTTATCCGTACATCTACCGATCAACTCACCCATCCTTTCATCCACCCACATCCACTCACCGTTTTACCCATCAATCCACCCATCTATCCATCCATCCACCCACACAACTAGCCAACTACCCGCCCAAACGACCAACCATCCATCCACCCACCTACCCATCCAACCACCACGTATCCATCCAGCTGACAGTCAATTATTTTGCTATTCCTATTGCAAAGGATGTTTTGAGTTCAAATCAACACCTTGACAGTAAACTTCCTGAATAAATTAAAAAGGGCAGATATAAGATCAATATTATATAGCCTTACAGTAAATAAATGTAATTAATTTTGCTGCTAATGGGTGGTCTCTAATAATAGTAAAAAGTCATATAGGTAATGAACACACTTTATATTCCCTAGAACTCATTGTACTCTGTGAATAAAGTTCAATGACGAGATGAGCAAAATCTTTTTCATTCGCTCATCATAACACAATCAAGTCCTTATTCAATGTTTCACTACATTGGTTTTCCAAGAAAAGAGATTTGCAATGGTGATTTGTATAGTGATACAGAGCACTGTCTAAAACAGCTGTTTCCAAATTACTTTTAGAAATCACAATACAAAAAATGGGAAAACAGGAAAGGCTGAAACGTCCAGTACTCACTTTGTTGGAAAGATCACATCGGAACTACAAATGGTCACTTTTCCACTTAATCTTCCTGTAAAACATCCACAAATTTCACCCACCTAATTGTTGCATGTTTGCATGTTTATAATAGTCCTCATGGGAGATAGCCTATACAATACGTGTTTTATATGTTTTGCAATCACTTTTCCTATGGTTTGCTATTTATGTGTACCAACGCATTTTAAGTGCTATGCACACGTATTCCGACCGTATGCTCAAAGTGTCAATGTTCAAATCTTTTCACTATTGCCGTAACGTTAAGGTTTTGCAAACTGCAATTGCCATCCCTCTCAGCCATGCTCTGCACAAGTTGGGCCAATAAACAGCAAACAAACAAGCATCACTTAATTCTCAGTGGCACCTTTGTTTGTTGTGATGTTGGCTGTTACGACAAAACATTTTAAATGAATACAGTTAAGCCACAAATTAAGAATACTTATATATGAAATCATATTTCACTGCAATTTTAGTGGGGGGGGGGGGGTTTGCCCAATATGTCTAAAACAAAATGAATGTAGGTGCCTGGATGATGATAGACTGTAGTACCAGAAAAATAAAAATTATACCAAAATGTATCTAAAACGGGACAAATTCATTCTTGTAGTCAGGGGAGATACCTATAGTATTCTAGCTCCTGTCTTCTGGCAAGTTTTGCACTCGCTAGAAAGACCAAAACATCAAACAAGCCAGACACATCACAAATCGCGTTCCTATTACAGTGTGAGCATATCAGTCATTTTTTTATTTTTTTTAAAAAAAACAGCAAAATCATGACAAATCTATTCTTCTGCCTAAAGTAAGATCTCATGGTCATGGTATACTATGTGACTCCAATAACATAGGTAATAACTAGGTGTGACTGCACTGGGAAATAATATTTAAATAAGAACCTAGCTCAAGGTATATATTTTTTTAATTTGTCACAAACACATTATTACTTAGTCACTGCTGGGAAAAAAAAAACTATAGTGCAGCATTGTTGTTATTGTGCATTTCATGCAGAAAACAAGTGTCTGTGTTCCTTTGATATTAGGCCTCACTGTCCCCGCAGAAAGTGACAAGGGAGATGGACACAGAATTCCAGAGCAGAGATTTATTAGCTGAAAAATATGCATCACGGTCTGTCAGCTCCAATCTGCTGCCTAGTGCAGTTCCTCTCTCCCTGCGTCTCCAGCCAGACTGCGGTCTCTAACAGCCAGGAATGAGCATTTTATGAGAAAGCCTGTTTCTAGGGATTAACCTTTTCAAAACAAATATAATGCAGTGTTTTTCTTCTGTATATTAACATATAAATGAAATAAATATTCTAGATTTTCATTATCCAACAAACGTCTCTCTCTCTCTTTCTCTCTCTGTATATATATATTACTGTTGTGTATTACCAGCATATTTCAAATTGGATTTTAGTTCCCCTTAACCATCCCAGAGTTCCAAGCTTGACATGCAAATGAGCACAGGCAGACTTTGTGTTTCAGATTTTTTATTAGTATTATTATTATTAGCGCCAACATATATCTTTGCAATTATAGAAGTCGGATATTAGAGGTAATGAAGACTCTGCTCAAATGAGCTTACAATCAATGAGGTTTTGTATAAGGTGGATATATAGTGGGTATCTTGTCCAGGAACGGTAAGGTAAATTGGTCTGACTGGGATTCAAATCTAGGTTTTCCATATTTAAGGCGGTGACAAAGGACGCTGAATTAAACACAGCTTTTTCTTTTTTTAAACATACACAATGGATGGAAAGCTCTGTTTGAAACAGTGTCCATTACTAAGAGTACCTGCAGAAGTGCAGAGTGAAGTCTAAACATAATGCCTCTTCTCATTTGCATAACAAGCTAGGAACTCTGGGATAGTTGTGAAAAAATGATTTCTTGAGGTCCTGTGCCTAAGGTGGACTTTACAAAGTCCAGCTGGAGATATGCAGGTGATGCTCAACAGTATTTTTTTCTATTTGCACTTTGGGGTGTTTTATTGTGTTTCATCTCACCACAATCTTTTAGGCACAGCCGCATTGATCAGAAATGATTAACACTTGAAAAAAAAAAGGAGGATCTACAGAATGCTTGTCATTCCTAAATTCTACATATTATATTTTGTAGCGAAAGTGGATGGAAGATATTATGATACAAACTGATGAGACTTTGCCAGGGTTCTTGTTAGTTTTCAGAATTTCATAGTTCCATTTTCTTCATCACAAGAGACTTCAGAAGATACATAGGATACTACCGTAGGAGAAAAGTAAGGAGGGGCAGGAGATGCTACCATCATGAAGTGGGAGTGACAGCTGCGTGAGACGAAATCACCACATCATGTCAAGGGTCTCAGTGCAGAATTGTGGGATTACAGAGCATTAAAAAAAGGAATTCAGCCATATTCAGTGCATAGACCAATGTAAAGATGAATTTGGTGGGTGTTACAGAGCGTTGAAAAGTGTCATTTCAACCTTGTAAGTCTATATATAATTAACGAATAAAGTACCACTGAGCAGAGTCCACGAGAGATGAACTCTAACCCGAGGCACAAAAAGAAGGGCTAAAGGGGTAGCTAAACGGGCTTAACCCTGCAAAATATTACCAAGAAAACATAGAAAGTAGTAAGAGGAGATAATCCCTACTAAGAAGGAGAATTCCTCTACTACAGCTACCCCAGCGCAAAAATATGTGTAGACTAATTATATCACACATAAACAAATTATATACGTATCTAAAAATATCTTTATTGAACACCACTAAATTCTATATACCCTAACCCAAGAACAAGAAAAAGAATGCAGACTGAGTTCGGCTGAAAAAACAGTGCTGAATATATCTGTAATGAGTTCCAATATAAATTGTTACAAAGTATAATAAATAGAAAC